ACATATAGTCTATGGAATACTACTGAGCTGAAAACAACAACAACAACAAAAACCAACGAAAACACCTGGCTTTTGACAGAAAGTGGAAAAATATGGAAGATTTACTTCTGAGTGAAGCAAACCAGGCTATGAAGGAGAGACCATGTGTGTCCCCACTTAATATATACCGAGTGTCCACACTCTATGACTGAAACTGTTTGACTAAAGGATATAGAAACACAGTAAATGGATGCAAATACCATATATAGTGTGTGTGAAAGAGTATGGTCTGAGGAAAGACATTTAGAAGAAAAATAGAGAGCAAAGCATTAATGAGACGAAGAAATGTGGTATTATCTGTTGAAGACATTTTATAGTTTTATCAACTGGACTAGTGAGAAAGGTTCACATGTTGAAATATTCACTTTGTAAGCTAAATAATATGACCGACTGTGTAAAAGAAAATGAAATTTCAAAATGTAAATGAAAAAATTAAAAAGTTTAAAAAGTAAAAATAAAAATTTTGGATCTCTGAGCAAGGTAGCAATATGTGGAGTTCTTCTGTGGAACAAGTGCAGAGCCGAATATTAGGTTCAGCAACAAACAGAAGAAACTACTGAAGCAGCTGAAATTTGCAGAATTCCTAGAAAAATGTGTACATTAGCAAAGTAAATTTGGTGGTTATAAAGCCTTGGATAACAAAACGAGTAACAGAAATCCTTGGTTTTGAAGATGTTGTGATTGAGTTTGTATTCAACCAGCTGGAAGTTAAGAATATAGACTCCAAAATGACACAAATCAACCTGATTGGGTTTTTGAGTGAAAAAAAAAAAGCTAGAGAATTTATGGGAGAACTATGGCCCCTGTTGCTAAGTGCACAAGAAAACATCACTGGAATCCCTTCAGCTTTCCTAGAACCGAAGAAAGCAGAAATAAAACAGGCAGGTTGAAAAAGAAAAACTGACACCTATGAAAAAGCAAGATGAAGACAAAGATAAGAGGAGCAAAGAAGAAAAAGAAAGCAGTAGAGCAAAAGGGGAGTGGTCTTGAAGCCCAAGACGATGGAAATCCAGATCTCTATCCCCTAGAACACGATCTTCCCCTCTCAGGAGAAAGAGAGAAAGTGCATTCTCAAGTTTCCTATCACAGAATCAAGAGCCAGAGTCCTTCCCCCAGCTCCGAAAAAGAAGGAAAAAAAAAAAACAAAAAAAAAAACAAAAAAAAAAACAAAAAAAATAACCTCTCTAGAACCTTCAGTGAAAGTACAAGAACATTCAGTACAAGAAGTCACTTCTACTAGTGACATTTTTAAAGTTCCCAAGCCTGAACCTGTACCAGAGCCTAAAGATCCTTTCCCATACAAAAAAAAAAAAAAAAAAAAAAATCCAAAAAGGAAAGGAAAAAGACTCAACCAAGATCTTGATCATGTTCCAAGTCAATATCCTGGACATGATTTCACTCTCTTTCTCACATTTGACCTATATGGTGCCACAGATTTTGATCAACATCATACTCGCCCCAAAGTTGGCCAAGCTCAAGAAGGCAGCCATTTCCTTGAAGAAGAATACCAACATGAATTGTCTCCTCCACCAAGGCACAGGAGGAGTAGATCTTCATAAGACATATGGCAGTGCTCATCAGCATCTTTGTCTGGAAGTAGCTCATTATCCTCTTCATCTCATTCCCAGTCACCACCAAAGAAGCCTCCCAAGAGGACATCCAGTTTCCCTCAAAAGACTCATAGGTTATCTCTTTCAGCAGATCCCCCAAGGCGAAGGCACAGGCCATTACCTCCAGCAACTCCACCACCAAAAACTCATCCCCTCAGCTGTCAAACCATATAACAAAAAGTCATGATTCTGTGTCTCCAGGGAGAACTTCAGGTAAAGTGACAAATTAGAAAGGTACTGAGAAAAGAGAGACACCTTCACCAGAATCAAAGCCTAGAAAAGTAGAGTTATCTGAATCGGAAGAAAATAAAGGTGGCAAAATGGATGTAGCAGATTCTGTGCAGCAGAGACACCAGTATAGAAAACAAAACCAGCAGTCTTCATCTGACTGTGGTTCCTCATCCTCTTCAGAAGATGAGCAATCCAAGAAGTCCTGTGTGAAGAATGGTGAGGTAGGAGGGCGGCAGCAACATTTCTCTTCCTGGTGTGCCTCTCCATCACCATGAAAGCACCAAAAAGAGACCTCCCCTTGGATGCAGGTGGGAAAGTGAAGGCAATCTCCAGTGACCAAGAGTGGTAGACAGAGGAGAAGTCCCTCCCCACCACTCATCAAAAGGCAGTGCTCTCCTTCTCCTGCTGCTTCTCCTCTTCAACAGCCCAGGTCTCCCACCCCACCATCATGAAAAAGGACTTGTCCTCCTTGTTGATGCTCACCAATCCCAAGAATATACTCTCCTCCAATACAGAGGAGATACTTTCCTTCTCCACCTCCAAAGAGAAGAGCAGCTTCTCGCCTTAAACAAAAAGCATCACCATTTCCACCACCAAAGTGTCAGGTCTCCCATTCTCCACCTCCCAAACCAAGAAGCTCCCCAATAGCCAAGAGATGTTCACCTTCTCATTAAAGCATAGGAAAGGGTCTTCCCCGAGTTGCTCTACCTGGGAGGCCTGGTCGCCACAACCAAATAAATGACACTTGCCCTCTCTGCAGCCTTGAGCTCCTCAGACCACCTGAAGTCCTCCACCCATATGAGAAGAGCATCATCATCACCCCAAAGAAGGGAGTCCCCATCACCAAGCACTAGGCACATTAGGAGAGTTTCCAGGACTCCAGAACCTAAAAAGACAAAATCTGTCAAAAAAAAAAAAAAAAAAAAAAGAACCTGCATCACCAAGTCCAGAGTCTATAAGGAGAGTTTCATCCTCCAGATCTGTCTCTGGATCTCCCAAGCCAGCAGCTTAAAGGCTTACAGCACCTCCATACCCTGTCCAGTTTCAGTCACCTTCTACAAATTGGTCACCACCTGTACCAATCAAAAAGGCTAAAAACCCAACACCAAACACATCACCGGCAAGGAATTCAGATCAAGAAGAAGATGGAAAGAAAAAGAAGAAAAAGAACAAGAAACATAAAATGGATAAAAAGTACAAGAAGCACAAAAAAACACAAGAAGAAAAAGGTTGTGGCTGCAGCGTCTGCAACTCCCGTGGCCCCTGCAGCCACAGCTGCCACTACAATCACTTCTGCCCAGGAAGAACCAGAGGTAGTGTCAATGCCCAAGAAGGAGACTGAAAGTGAAGCTGAAGATAACCTTGATGATTTAGAAAAGCACCTGTGATCAATGCAGAAGCCGCAAGTATCCATACAGTCTTAGGTGAAAATGTTTGCTGCGATGTAAATTTTATTTGGTTTGTACATGATTCCACCTCAAAGCTGCTGAAATTATGTTTGTGCTTTAGGTTATAACATTTGTTGTAATAATTGCTAGGTTGAAGTTTACCATGTAAAAAAAGAAAACGGCATGGATTTACATTGCAAAAGGTGTCCACGGTGTATTAGTGACAATCTTTCATTGACAGCTGACATAAATTTATTGAGTGGAATGTTTTGTTCCAAAAAATATCCCTTTTTCAGAAAAAGGGGGTTTAAATATTGTTGGCATTCTTGTGGTTTCTTTAAATGCCATTGGTTGTTTCCAGAGGTTTTTGTTCTTTTTTCCTTTTTCTCATTTTTGTCTTAGCACCCATTTAAGTTATATTTCCAACCTAATATGGTTTGTGAGCTTGCCCAGAAAGAAGACCGCTGTTAACTACTACAAAAAATATAAATTAATTTTTGATGCCAAAATAATTCATGTTGCCTATGGAGTCTCTGCTGAGATGAATAAGGAGTCAAGCTCTAAAATGAGACAGAAAAGGAAAGTATGTTGTTTGCTAGGACACTGTGAGATTATATTGACGTGTAACAAGTTGATTTGTAACACTGGAAATTCACTCTATTCTGTTCTGGGATTTTTTTTTTGAGGGGTGGGATTTATTATTATTATTACTTGTTAAAGCACTTAACAAACTCCTAGAAAGGATCCTCCAGTTACATAAAATTTTGTTCAATGAAATGTCATGGCTCCATTCATATTCTTGTCTTTATCTTCCAATTGGTATATACAATTTTCAGAGCTCTTATATTTAGAAGGCTGGAAGGGCCCAGATTTTGAAATACAGTGTCTTGGTTTCACTGTTTTTGTGGGTTTGTGCACATGCGCGCGTGTGTGCATGTGTGTGTTCTTTTAAACTAAAGCTATATAAAGCTTCTGGATTAGACAGAATAAATTTCTAAATTAAAAAATATTAAATTCTCAGAATTCTTTGCTCCAGAGACCACTACTACTAGCAATTCAGCTGCCTTAACACATGAGGCCTAATTAGCCTAACACATGTTCAGAATGTATTTTCATTGGTGAAATCAATGTTATTCAAAGAAATATACTAGCCAGAAATATCTTAAAGGTACTTTAGCCTTCATAAGAACTGGGTATAAGAATCTAATAAGCCCTACATTCTATAATCTTCAGAAAGGGGCCTAAACCTCATTAGAGAAAGTAAATCCTATGTCTTGGCCCTTGTACATGAATTGTGTTGCCAGATTCTGACTAAAACATGAGCTGAACCATCACTATAATACTGCCAAATCTATACTGACTACCCCTTTCACAGAAGATGTTATCATGTACCCAAGTATCCAAGAGCTGGGAATTCATGGAAAACAGGCTGTATGACTGTTATACATATATTGGGAGAATTGAGGTTGAGGTTAGTCTCCAGGATAATATTATTATTCTGTTAACGAGACAGTAGGGAAGCTACCTACCTTCAATTAATGAAAGCTACCGATATCTGCCAATAATAACTTAATAATTGGGAACCACCAGAGTGGCTTAGGTGAGTTTGCAATAGATATTTTCTCTGTATATTTCCTGAGTCTAGTAAAATGAAAACCAATAGAACAGAAACAATAGAAACAAATAGAAACCTTCATAGCCATAGTCTTCTTTCTTCTCTCAGGTCACTTACCAATTTTTTCATCTTCCTGTACCATTTTCCTTTCTTCTCTGAAAGCCCTGAGCCAGCGTATTTTCTCTTCCAACTTCTTGGCAAAGAACAGATGTATCTCTTCAGTCTCCTTGTTGTGAAGTTTAAAGGCATTCTTCATACTGACATTGAAGTCATCATCTCTGCCATCTTCAATGTCAATCACCTCATATTTATCCATGTCAATGCGGCCTTTGTAATATAGGATATCTCTCCGGATTAGATCCTAGGTAAGAAGGAAGAGAAGTTTTTTTTTTTCTCAGAAGTATGTTCAGAGTAGGTATCAAGAGAGTTGGCACATGGGCATGACTAGGCATTAACACTATTATTATTTTGAAGTACCAGAGGGGCTGAGTTTGGTCTACACTTGTTCCGATTAGGTTAGCATTCTGATATTGACAGGTTGGCTAAGTAGATGTTCTTAGATGAAACCTCTATTCCACATCAGAAGACTGTCTGAGAGTTTTTCAAAACTTTTAATGGGAAGTAGTAACCAGTAAGCTATACAAGCACTGACAGCAGTGCTTCCAAAATCTTAACAAACCTACCAGGGGCATAAAATGAACTGGCTAGCTACCTAGTGTGAGCTCAGGAATCTAAGAAGGCCACTAAGACTAGGTATCAAAGTGGATATGAGTAGTAAGAGTAACTAGTTGGCCATCAACTCCTGTCTTGGAAGAATTACCTGGGAAGGTTCTAACCCTCTAGAGATTTTTAGACAAGGCCTAGTCTGGCAGGAGGAATGACATTAGAGTGAATAAAGTATCATGTATTAATATAGATGAATCTTAATAAGCTTACTGTGTAAGAAAAGAAAAAGCTGTCATTAGATAAAACAGTTTTATGGCCAAACCCCTGGCCTAATGGACACTGATACAGTGACATTTTCTTTAGTCTCCTTCTTACTTTCTTCCCACTTATTTGGACCTCTCTTCCTCTTCCTCCGCCTTCCCAGATGGTCTAGATAGGTCTAGAATCACAGTTCTGAAATATTCTAGTATTGTAAGACTCTCTAGGATCCTCCCTTTTACCACCTCCGAAAAAGGAGATACTGCTCTTTGGACACCTGATTAGAATACTACTAGTAGGACCACATTGCTAAACACAACAGAAGAGAGTCTTCAGCAGTCTTCAGTCCACAGCAAAAGGGAAACACACTTGCTCTTAGTCAAACAAACATTTCTCTAAAAGCTATTCCAAAGTGAATACATCTTCCAATGGCTAGAAGTAGAAGAAGAGCCTCAGGTCTGAATAAAACAGGAAATATGTCTCCATAAATAGAACATAGTGAATGCCTTCCATTTCTCGAAAAAACAGAGGATGTTACCAAAATGTCTGAGAAAGAATTTAGAACATTCATGGTGGCCAAATTCTATGAGATGGAACAGAAAACAGACAACGAACTAGAGGAGATTAGGAAGTCCATGCACAATATGAAAGAAGAAATGGACACACTAAGAAAGAATCAGATGGAACTATTAGAGAAGAAGCCTGTAATACAGGAAATCAAAAACTCTCAAAAAAGTATTAAAAGTCGATTAGACCATGCTGAAGATCGAATTTCTAACGTAGAAGATAAAACTTCTTTCTTTTTTTTTGGAGAGGTTTTTGCTATAGGGCGCGTGCTCTCACCAGATAGAGAGAGAGGCAGAGAGACAGAAAGTAAGAAATCACTGCCCAGGGGGGATGGCCATGCCACAATCCCCTCTCCTCCATTCTCCTCTTGGGATCTTGGGCACGCATGCACACGTGTCCGGCATGAGTTTTAAGCCACCGGTTCCGGGACGCAAACCATGGTCGACTACATGGGAGTCCAGCGACATAGCCATTACGCTAACTGTTGGTCCTGGAAGATGAAACTTCTAACCGAGAGAAAACCACCAAAAAGATCGAGAAATAACAAAGACAAACAAGAAGATAATATATAAGAAATACTAGATTCCATTAGACACTCTAACATTTGAATAATCAGTATCCACAAACATGAAGAAACTAATAAGAGCATGGAAAATCTATTCCATGAATCCTGAAAGAAAATTTCCCAAGTCTAGAGAGGCACTCAAACATCCAGACTCAAAAAATACAAAGGATCCCAAAAAGAATAAACCCAAGAAGATCTACCCCAAGGCACATCTTAGCCAGACTCACAAAGATCACACATAAAGAGAAGATACTAAAATTGGCAAGAGAGAAAGGACAAGTGACTTACCAAGGGCACCCCATCAGGCTAACACCAGACTTCTGCATGGAAACAATGCAGGCAAGGAAATAATGAGAAGATGTATTCAAAGTGTTAAGAGAAAAACAATTTCAACCAAGATTATTATATCCTGCAAGATTATCCTTCATGTGGAAGAAAAGCTTAAAATCTTCTCAGAGAAATAAAACCTGAAAA